TTATGTTTGGAAACCTAAATTTGTATTTAAAGAATGTATTTTAAATGCATGTATTAATTATAAATATATGTATTTTCAAATTTATTATTTGGATTAATATAATAAAAGTGAATTTGATATTAACGTCGTTAATTGAGGCATTTTTCCAAACACTTCTAAGACAATCCTTTTGCAACTTCAGTAACAAGCCCAAAGCCAAATGTTACTGGTGTGGACCGCAATCTCCCTGCACATAGACAAGGGGAAGCCAAGAAACTCCTCACCCACTGCCTCGAAATCGGCATCTCTGCTCTCCATTCTAATCTCCTTGCCATTGATATTGTTGAACTCATTGTACGTTAATGTCTTCGTCTCTGTCTCTATTTTTGTCGTCCCCTGCTTTTTCTTCTCAAAAGACAAGTACTTAATTCCTACTTTTTTCCTTAAAAATAACAGATGTGGTAGTTTTTTACCAAAAAATATGCAAAATACTTTCGCCTTTAAGAATTTAGCAATTGTTTTACGTGGTTTGGTTATGCAGGTGACAGAACTGGAAACGGATCCTTTGTTCAATTCCAGCCATGGATCTGCACTCACGGCCAAAGGAACATTGGAGATGGAGACAAGCATTATGGACAGGAACAAGAGAAGGTGCAGCGTCATATCCAGTGTAACCACCGTGAAGAACCCCATCTCTCTTGCTCGTCTTGTGATGGAAAAATCTCCACATTCCTACCTGGCCTTCTCCAATGCGGAAGAGTTTGGCCGGAAACAGGTTGAAATACTTAAATCTAAATTTGAAATACATAAGGTTGGAAGAGGATTTAAAATACATGGATTTTAAAGTAATGAATTACACAAACTTAATTATATATATTTTGATTAAATTCAATTACATCCTTATTTTGTAAAAACAAATTATGATATTAAATTTAAAATGATCAAATTCAAATACACCCTTTAAAAATCACGATCTCAAACTAACCATAGGTTAGAATTTACAACTATATGCAAATTTTGGTTCTAGGAAAACCGGAGACGCTTTCCAAAAAATCCAATTTGTTGAACGGAAGTTTCTGCAATGGGAAGCTGTTCTAAGAAGTAGGGTAAATGAAATGAGTATTTAAAAGTCTGAAACGCGTTCGTATGCATTATAAATTTATATGATTGCAAATAGGAATAACTCAGGTAGTAGAGAGGATAAAAAAGATGCCATTAATCTAATTATCTCAAAGCAAAATGAAACCTACTTTATAACATCAGATACAGCAATAAATAAAGATATAACAATAGCCATATGACATCTACATGGAAAAAAATAGTTTTATCCTACAAATAAAGATATTTATATAACAATAGCCATATGACATCTACATGGAAAAAAAATAGTTTTATCCTACAAATAAAGACAGACAACCATACATAACACAATTTTAAATATAATTACATTTTGCTTTCAACACAATTTTTAATATTATAGAAAGGTGGTGAAAATATCACACAACGACCCTTTGAAGGAACCATTATTACTATATATTCACATGTTCCTTGGTCGGATTGCAAATCTCCGATGGACATACCCTATCGGATTCTATACATATAACCAACTCAGAATTGACACATAATGGTGCAGGAGCCGATACCAAAACACCGATTTTGGCAAGATTTAAAATCCCACTACAATGAATTTGATTGCCAAGTTCACCATTTAGGTTGGTAAGACCTAAGATACAGAGATAAATTGAGAGGATCCACTCTCAAGAAACTCACTCAAAATAGAGGAGAATTGAAACTTGATTAACTGATAAAACTTATGTTTACAACGAAGGGAACATGGCTATTTATAGGCAAAATCTATAAGGAATAAATGTAAAGCTAAATACAGTTGGGAGCTAGCCATTTTCGTGGACTTTGGTGGCCATTTTTGCTAACTTGTGGCCATTTTGACAAAGTTGCACTAGCCTATTGTAGTTGGTGGTGCTGCAGAGTAACTTCTGCATGCTTGCTGCATTTTTTCTGGTGCATTCTCCCCTGCTTGGAGAAAACTCATCCTCGAGTTTGAGATCAATCCTTATAATCCTCATAGTAAGGAGATAGGTCAACAACATTGAAAGTAACAGACACTCTGTAGTCACCTAGAAGTCTGATCTTGTAGGCACAACCATGCTAGAATCCTTGCTTCGTTGAGTTCGAGGTAATCCATGAGGGATCTTGTCAAGAGCAACATCAGAAAATTCTTCAAGGAGAGATTGAATTTTCTCTGGAAAAGGGGAAGTGGCATCATTCACTTTAGATAATAGTAAGAGACAAGCTATCCTCGATTCTTGATGCAACTTCTGAAAGGTTGATCTATAGATTAAGGCCTTATCCTCATCCTTCTTTTCAAGTAAGTCTTTAGGCTTTAGGGGAATGAGCTTGATTTGCACACCATCTTTCACAAACGAGTAGGTGTTGGCATGACCATCATGGATAGCCTTTCTTTCAAATTGCCAAGGGCGACCAAGTAACAAGTGACAGGTGTCCATGGGAATAACATCACACCACACTTCGTCTTGGTACTTGTTACCAATAGAAAAAGAGACAAGGCAACATTTGGTTACTTTTACCTTGTTTCCCTTTCGTAGCCATTATAACTTGTATCGTTGGGAATGGTCTTTGATTGGCAAACCTAGCTTCTCAACCATATAACTAGACACAACATTCTCACAACTTCCACTGTCAATGATGATGTTGCAAACTTTCCCTCGAGAAGCACATCTGGTGTGAAAGATGTTATGTCAAAGCCAATCTCCATCCTTGGTTATGGTAGCATGAGGACTTTGATGCACAACCAAAGATTCTCCATTGTCAGTTGCGATGAGTTCTTCCTCAAGTTGTGGCTTAGTCTCATCATTATGCTCCTTTTCTACTTCACCATTTGAGACTTCATGAATCTCTTCTCCGACAATGGTGATAATTCTCCTATTGGGACAATTGGAGGCAATGTGGCCAAATCCTTGACACTTGAAACACTTTTGTGTGTTAGGTTGGGCTGGACAGCTTGAACTAGCTTCCTTCTCAACTTTGGCAGGTGTCTCAGTAACAATTTTTGAAGCTTGGGTCCCTTAGCTAGCTTCAAAATCTTGTGGTTTCGAAGCAATAGTAATATTCTTCTTTGAGACTTGCTTTTCAACCCTCAATGCTAGTTGAATGACATCATCCAAAGTCCAATATTGTTGAAGTTGAACAACTTTGGAAATGTCATAGTCCAATCCTCCAAGACATCGGGCTATGGTTTGCTCTTCCTTTTCCCGAACATCACACTTCATCATTAATTGTTCAAACTCCATAGTATATTCTTCCACAGTCAAAGATTTTTTGCTGCAAGTTATGAAATTTAATAAAATTATCTTGGTAGTAACAGTCAGGTAAGAACTTATGAGTGAGTTCCCGATGCATTTTCTCCCAAGTTCTAATTTTGCTGCGACCTTCACTTTCTCGACTGCGTTTGAGATTCTCCCACTAAATGGATGCATGTTTCTTCAATTTGATGGCGATGAGCTTTACACGCTTGTCATCAGAAATATCCATAAGTTCAAACACACGTTCCACAGTGTGTAACCAATCAATAACTTCATCCGGTTGAAGGCAACCTTCAAAATCTGGAATATTGATTTTGATGCCAAGGTCAATGGATTTGGGAGCAACATTTTGTTGGGGACGTCAACGACGAACTCTTTCTATTGATGATGAGCTTTCATTATCCCTTAGGTGATGGAAGGGATTCTTGTCGTCAGTATCTTCCTCTGACTCATGTGGTTCATCTTGCAGGTGTTGTGCTTGTGGTCCCTTAAAAGCTTCAAGTCTTTCTTGAAGCCTTTGAATTTGTTGACGTAGTTCTTCCATCTCTATGTCCCGAATAGCTTGTTGACGAGGAGGATTTTGTCTTCTAGGAGGCATGATGAGTTTAGGTTGGTAAGGGGCTCTTTGGAAAGTTAGTATTTGGAAGTGGGGGTAATATGAAATTTATAAAATTATGGGGGTCAATTTGGAAGGTCAAAATAAGCTGAGAAACTTGATGACGTGGCAACAAGGTGCGGCTGCGGTGATGATGTGTCACTGACATGGTTGGTGACGTGGCGAAGATGACGTGGTAGTACTTGGATGATGATGTGGCAATGACGTGGGTGATGATGTGGTGCATGAGAGGTTGAAGATGACCGGCACGTGTCGTTCACGTGAGTTGCAGTGATGCGAGTGGCTGGCACGTGAGACAACGATTGTGGCACGTGGAGGCGCGTGAAGCCTTGTTCGTCGATCAAGTTTTCACTAGAACGCTCAGAATGATGAGCAGACCTCAAATATGTTGGCTCTGATACCAAATGGCGCAGGAGGAGTCGATACCAAAACACCGATTTTGGTGAGATTTAAAATCCCACTATGATGAATTCAATTGCAAGGTTCACCACTTAGGTTGGCAAGACCTAAGATACAAAGATAAATTGTGAGAATTCACTCTTAAAAAACTCAGTCAAAATAGAGAAGATGACGTGGCAAATAGATGACATGGTAGTACTTGGATGATGATGTGGCAATGACGTGGGTGATGATGTGGCGTATGAGAGGTTGAAGATGACTGGCACGTGTTGTTCACGCGAGTTGCAGTGAGTGGCTGGCGCGTGAGACAACGGTTGTGGCGTGTGGAGGCACGTGAAGCCTTGTTCGTCGACCAAGTTTTCACCAGAACGCTCAAAATAATGATGAGCAAACCTTAAATATGTTGGCTCTGATATCAAATGGCGCAGGAACCAATACCAAAACACCGATTTTGGTGAGATTTAAAATCCCACTATGATGAATTCAATTGCAAGGTTCACCACTTAGGTTGGCAAAACCTAAGATATAAAGATAAATTGAGAGAATCCACTCTTAAAAAACTCAGTCAAAATAGAAGAGAATTGAAACTTGATTAACTGATAAAACTTATGTTTACAACGAAGGGAACATGGCTATTTATAGGCAAAATCTAACTAAGGTGATAAGTGTAAAGCTAAATACAGTTGGGAGCTAGCCATTTTCGTGGACTTTGGTGGTCATTTTTGCTGACCTGTGGCCATTTTGACAAAGTTGCACCGGCCTATTGTAGTTGGTGGTGCTGCAAAGTATCTTCTGCATGCTTGCTGCATTTTTTCTGGTGCACACAGAGTCTAAATATTCTTTGATTATTCACCATTACCACGGATGAAGAAGATCTGTAACAAGAAGAGAAATTAATAAGAGAGCATGAGCTCAGAAAGACCAGATGTGTTGGTATCTTTGTCTAATTGTGACCTGTGGCGAGCAAAATATTCCGAACTAGATATAGGCTTGAAAATTGGTGGATTTTCCTCAGATACAAGCTCTTCCAGTGGCCCATACGATTCATTGCACATAGCAACAGCCGGAGGAAGAAAAATGCTGCTGATATCCTCGGGCCGACATTCTTGGCCACCACTCTGTGTCTAGCAGCTTTAAACTTGCCATTCGTAATCAACTATTAAAGAAATCACATATAAAATGATTCATCATATTTATACACAAATATGAAAAAAAAGTTGTAATTTAATTATTAAGGTTGGATAAATTATTCTATGAACTGATACCTGCATAAGGTCACCATAGTTTATGGTTAGAGATCCAGCCACACAAGGTACATCCACCCACTGATTTTGATGAAGAACTTGGAGGCCACCGATGCTGTCTTGCAGGAGTATCGTTAAAAAGGTTGAATCTGTATGGCTGGTTAAACCCATGGTGAGCTCGGGCTGTGGACAAGCAGGATAGTAATTGCTCAATAAATTAGACGATTTAATGCATTTTATGCTTTCAAGGTAGTTACTCTTGAGACCCAAAGCCTCAGATGACAATTCTGATAGGGTATCCTTTAGTTGGAGGACATATTTAGTGCACTCCATTATCGCCTTTCTGCACAACAAAATCACATCAGCATACATAAGAATCCGATTCGTTTCCGAAATTTCAAAAGAAATTTCAAAAGAGATATCAAGCATGGACTTTAACCTGCAAATTTGAGGAATGGCTTCTTCATCTATCTTTTCGTCTGGAAAATTACAGACCAAGGAATCCCTCCAGGCTGCCAGGGGTAAGCGGTTCAAATTATAACGCAGACTTAAATGTGCAGCTAGCCACTCTTTCTTGAGTTCAACGGGCTGCTTGTTGAACTGGTGCACGCCATCGATCATTGGTCCATAACTGGGATTGGAGCCCCATGATTGACCAATTGGAAGATTCCCCACGTCTCAGCCGCATCGCGGATTTGACTCACTATCTCCACTCGGCGGTCGGTTTCCATCTCCTTGAGGTCAATTAAAGGGACCTGGAATTGGACATATTCGGAGGATGGTTTTGGTAATTGCTCCAGTGGATGGACGAAGAAACTGGGGAGCTTACTCACTCCAGAGTCTACAAGGACTTTAACTCCAATACCGGATTCCATGAACTCATTTATTTCTTTCAGTACTCGAGATTCATATTCAGCTGGTGGAATGGTTGTCATGTTGGCATTTCTTCAAATTACAGAGGATGGCTAGCGGTTCAAACTCAAAATATAAGAAGGAACTCATTTGGGTAATGACTAATGAGAGACAGCAGACTATGGCCACATTGTTGTTGCGCATAAACATTTAAATATTATATTTTGGTCTTATCAAGTTGGCCCTAATGGAAGTCCACCATCAAAGCTGATCAGCAAGCATGCACATTATCTCTTTGGGGCTTTAATACATGTGAAAGGAACAGGACAACTGCATTAATATTTATGTTGCGGCATGTGGGTTCTGCATGGTGGTTGAAAAAGCAAATTTCACATTTCAGCCTTTGAAATTTGGTTGCATGGGAAATCTCATGGCAGCCTAATTTTGTTGAAAAATTGGAAGTCTCATGGCAGCCTTTGAAATGGAAATTTGGTTGCTGCAACTTTGTCCATGCAACATTTATTGTACATGGTTGGATTATGACTTTGGAGCCCATTGCATTCATTGTGGGTGGTTGGCATTTGGCTATAAAAGCCATTTGGCCATTCGGCAAAGACACCAAGAAGAGCAATCCAAAGCGAAGTGAGTTTTAGAAAATACAAGAGTTTTATGAGTGCTTTGGGTGAGGGTGAGCAAGAACAGAGTGATTAAAATTACTTTGCTTAGTGTTTTTTGAGTGTGTCTCGCATTTAAAAATATTGAGTAAGATTTTGGTGTAATTGAAGATTGGGTATTTTTTTGAGAATATCACAAGTTATATCTCTTTATTTTAATAATGAATTTTTCTTTGTAAGTGCCCGTGAATATAAGTTCAATTAAATTGGAGCTAAATCATGTAAATTCTGTTTTTCTTGTGATGGTGCAATATTTTTTTATTTCATTAATTTTTTAATCTTGTAATGGGTTAACCAAAATCTCAAGCAATTTGTTCCAATAACTTAACTAGTTAGCTTCTTTGACTCTGTCATTGATATGAATATAATTTGTAGTGCATGCTTGAGGAATATAAAAATCTTTTTTTTGGGGGGTACATTAGGAGTATAACCTAATGGTTAGAAGTTCTGTTCTTTTCTAATATTGCATGGGGATAATTCTTATAAAAAATGGTGTTACGTAGTCAGAATTCGGTGGACTGCATAACACTTATATTGATGAGGCGAGCCTCTGATGTTGGAGGCTGTTTCCCCAATCATAGAAGTCATAAGTGCACCCGCAAAAACTCCTTTAAAGAGGTTAGAATTTACAGCTACATGTAAATTTTGCTTCTAGGAAAGCCGGAAAATGCTTTCCAAAAAACCCAATTTGTTGTAGCAAATGAAATGAGTATTTAAAACTCTAAAAGGCATTAGTATGCATTATAAATTTATATGATTGCAAATAGGAATAACTCAAGTAGTAGAGAGGATCAGAAAGATGCCATTAATCTAATTATCTCAAAGCAAAATGAAACCTACTGTATAACATCAGATACAGCCTGGATTTAGTTAATCATTTTCTCAGCAATTTCACTTTCTTGTTTGAGAGCATCATACAAAGTCTCGACAAGATTCAACAAGAATGAATCTGAACCATGTCTGGCCAGCAAAGAGATTGACACAGGAAGGTTATTGTCAATACCTAAAGGTATGCTCACCTGTAAATAGGATCAATATATTAAAACTTACCCAACAGAAGGAAGAAAAATGTATGATTTTTGAGTCTTGGAGATGCAGGGAAAACCTGACAAAATCCGGATACTCCTGCAATTGACAACAAGCTGAAAGCTCGTGCTCGAAAAACTTCCAGTGTTGTTGGATCTGTTTGTAGTTTGGGAGGAGCCCCAGGAACTGTGGGAAGGGCAAGGACACCACAATCCTAACATATATGTTTCATTTCAGCATAGAAAAGAAACACTGACACTGTAAGTTTACT